GTGGAGGAGGAGGAGCGGGGCCAGTGCCGCAGTTTCGCGCAGTCTGCTGCACGCGATGCAAAGTGGAAAATGACTCCCGGCACGCTCAGAGACATGATAAAGCGCGCGCACGACGCCGCGCCTGGTCCGAACGGCAAACCGTTACCATGTTATCATCTCGGCGGGGAACAGGCTAGTGCCATTCGATATGCTGTCTATGCGCTCTTGCCTGCTGGAGAGGACTTGCCTGAGGATATAAGCTATTGCCGCGCGGTCTCCTTGCCTGCGAACTAGCTGCCCGGTGAATGCGTGGATATTACGCGCGCACCTGCTACTACTAGACCTTCCTCTCTCTCCTTTATTGTTTTCCTCTCTCTCTCTCTCTCGCCCCGACGCGTGCAACTAGCTTGTTTCGCGCGCTATCGGACCAGGCTCATCGCGGCAAGCACGATGCACAGTTGATTGGGCTCAAATGGGCCCCGTCAAGGGTAGGCAGATGTTCGGCAACATCGTAGAAGCATCGTCGGCACACACTCTGTAGGGGACGTTGAAGGATGTCAAGATTGTGGGTCAACCCTGGTCCATGCACGCGCTGCATCCCCGAGCCTCGCTCGCCCTTGGATCATCTGAGTTATCGCGGCCACGTCGCTTCCGCCGTGCACCACGCGCAGCGCGCGCGCACTGTATGAGAACACGCATGCGGAGATTGCACGCGTCGTGGGGATCTGGCACGGCTCCCTGGTCTGCTCTGGCATGAAGCAAGGGCGCCCCATGCGTGGATCAATATTCGCACTGTGCCTCGATCCAGTTGCACGGCGCATATGTTGCATTCTACCTCGGCCCCCACATTTCACTCAGTGATTCGCAGACGATTTGGCCCATGTCTAGAGGAAGCTCTTTCAGGCCCTACCTTAGTTCTTCAGATTGCTCGTTAGCTGTGGCAGAGCTACCGGTCTCTGTGTGAACGCGGCCAAGACGCGCATCATCTTTTTCTTTCCGAAGGATCGCAGCACCATCCTCGCTCGTCTTCGTGAGATTGGCATGAATGCTAGTTCGTTGCAGCTTGCGAATGCTGGCGCATACCTCGGCATCCGCATCGGCGTTAAGAACTGCGAAGACTCATGGGCGCAACCTCTGGGGAAGTTCGAATCTCGGGTCGCGTTCTGCAAGGGCCTATCGCTCGGCTTCACGGAGACCATCATGAGCTACAGTTCTTTAGCATGCAGCGTGCTGACGTATGTTGCGCGCGTTTCCCCTTGCCTCTCGCAGTCTGCGCGCGCAGCGAGACGGTTTCCATGCGGTCACTCGCCGGCCACGGCGCGCTCTCCACCCAGATCTTTTCTAGCGCCTGAAAGAAACCGGCATCCCTACCAACTCTAAGGGCAGCACTGAAAAAGGTCGCTCGTGCGGCCCAATGCAGAGTTGGATGTCGGTCTGGTATGTTCCAGAGGTTGGTTGGCTGCTACAATGTGATCTTGGAGGGCGCGGACTGGCTGCTGACCCATAGTGCGCTCGAGCACGTGAAGGAGAGCCTTCTCTTCCAGCTCAAAGACAACTGGAATGCCCTACCATCGATTCCTGGCCGCCCGGATGAACCTCGGTGCAAGAGCTTCCCGGGCAAAATGGTTCGTCTCCTGTCCGCTCACCAACGAAACGTTGCTCCTTAGTGGCTCGCATGAGATACTGGCAAGGGGAAATCGATATGATATCAGCGATGCCGCGATCTGTTTGACGCGGCTGCAGTTTTTTTTGGCTCCGCGTGTCCCAGTATTTATCATGAGCAATGTCATTAAGACGATTTGCAATGGATGGGCCGCTTCTTCGAGGTACCGCCAGCCAACTGCAGCACGCCGGTTCGTCTGCACCGAGCCCTCATGTGATCGCATTGTTGATTGTTGTTGTTGCTATCCAGCTCTGTGCTGCCTCTCTCATCTGTTGCCCCTGCTTCCCCGTTCCTTTGTATATGGTCATAGTTGTAAGCGCTTCCTCCCGAACCTTTTCGAATGGTCCTGCCCTGGAGAGCTCGATTGTATTGCCATCGCCATTGGCTTTCTCGCTGTAACTCACCATCGAACGCACTCTTGTGAATCTCAGCTATCCGATGTGTTCCGCTGCTCGTTGCATGCCCGTCCCCATCAGATTTTGAGATTGCGCCTCCAGCTTGCCTCTCTGGTCTCTACCTCATCTCTGCAGGCCTGCCGCTCTAGCTGACCGTGCCTTGATTTCAAGATAGTGGTTTGTCTTCTTCTCGCCTCTTGTCCGTTTGCCCTCTTCTCGTTCGCCTTCTTCTCGCCGAGTGTCCACCTGCCCTCGTCGCGCCCTTTGCCGCCAATCGGGGCCCTGATCCTCCTTCTCCTCCTCCTTCTCATCATCATCACCATCGCCATTACAATCATCATCGCACCTCTCCAGATTCATATACAAAGCCCGTAACCCCATATTCCAGTTCAGGCACGGGTTGGGACCAGCATCGCACATCGCCGTCAACAAGAACATCAGAGCCAGCAGCCGTTGCTTTACAGCCTAGTGTGTGTGTTTCTGGTCATGTTGTTCGACTGTTTGGGCGGCGTGCCCTGCCTGACTATCCTCGAACCCTTCCCAACTCAAACGCGAAGCCCGGTCACGTGAGCTCAAGTTTAGACATGGCTAGGAAGAGCCCCAAAAAGTTGCAGTGCGCAAACAAATCTTGTTCACAAGAAGACAGCGATGCCAACATGCTGTGTTTATGGTCATGCTGGCAATCGCTCTGGGCGACGCCCAACCTGAACCTCCTCATGCATATCCTGACTCACGCGCGCAATTTAGATCGCACATCTGTACCAACAACATAGATGTAAAGAGCAAACCACATCCAGTGCACAACACCTTGTCTTTCTGGTCGTACTAGTCTAGCGTTTGGGTGGCACGCCCTCGCTGAACCTCCCAAACCCTCTCCCAAATTACACGCGAAGCACCAACTCCTAAGCTCAAGCTCGAGCAATGATGCACCGAGCAACGCACTCGCAGTGCAGAAAAGTTCAAGCGCAACAGCAAAGCTCAGCATTATGTTGTTGGTCCCCTCCACCATCCTGTCCGTCCTCCTCCCCCCGTCCTCCCTCCTTCCTTTGCTCCTCATCCTTCCCATCATCCCACCATCACCCTGCTGCTGATATTACTGTTGATCATGCTCTGCGTGTTCCTCCTCCTCCTGGCGTTCTTTGGCCTCTTCCTGCCTCCCCCCCAACCCCCGCATTCCCGCCAGCCCCCCAAAGTGTGACCAGTACCGCAGGAGGAGGAGGAGAAGGAGGAGGAGGATGAGGAGGAGGACGCACCGTCCTGCTCACTGTTTTTGGTCGCCCTGCTCCTGCCCGTCATCACCCCGATCAGCTTGCTGCCTCCTCGGTGCCCTTGCTCCCGCTGCAGGTGCCTCCGCAGGTCCGCTTACCCGTCGCTCCTGGACATCCTCGTCCTGCTGCGCGTTATCTTGGCCATCGCCGTCGCCCATCCTCGCTCTCGCTCTTCTCGTCGTCGCCCGTTTCGTGCAGCTCGGCATCTCTGCCCATTTCCTGCTCTTTGCAGCTCCCCCTTCGCCCGCCCTCCGGCCACCGCTCCCCCCCTCCAGCGGCTGCTGCCTCCTCCGCGCGCGCCGCCCGCATCCTGCTCACCCCGCGCGCCCTGCTCATCTTGATCGTCGTGTGCTCTACTTTCATTATCGCCGTCTTCCTCCTCCTCGTCATCTCCCAATCCTTCTCGTCCCCCATCCCACTCTTCGTCCTCCTTTTCATCAGCCACTGGAGGGGAGGGGCGTGGCTCGCTGCAGCGGGACGCGTGGATGTGTATGCGTGGGCATAGCGGACGAGACGGGCTCGCGGCTAGGTCGCTGATGCCAGTGCTCGCCGCGTGCGTAGATCGAGACTCTCGGGGGAAGAAGGCCGCACGGTGTGCTGCTGGCACATCGGGGAGGAGGGTCTCTGTCAGGGTGCGACATCTTCTCTCCGCTGAGCTGCTGCGCCGCCTGTTTTTCTTCTGACCCTGACTCCCCCAGCAGACAGCGTCTCTCGCTTCATCCGTTATTTCTCGGATGGGGGGACAACGAGGAGAACAGCGACGACGACAACGATGCCTCATGTTGAGCTCGGAGCCATGTCCGAGTTACGTTGAGTTTTTTGTTGACCTCCTTTTATCAGGTGGGTCTCTGGCCTGAGGTGTCTGCTAACTTTTGGCGCCGCCACTGATCCTGACCCCTGGAGGCCCTCAGAGGCTTCTGGAGGCTCTTTGAGCGTTATAGAGTGGCTAGCAGGGCCAGAATCTTCGAAGCACTTTGCTCATCACCTCCGAGATCCTCCCTCCTCGATCCTCGGGTTCCAGGGCACAGCTCAGCACTGTCGTCACAGCCTCCTCCTCCTCCACTCCTAGCGGGGCTGGGCGGGTCATGAACCAGGTGGGACACCCGCGACCGTCATTGTTTCCACGTGGCACATCGCCTCCCCCGCCTCGAATGATGTCAGAGACACCAGGCCCCCCCGTACTGCAGATCGCTTCATTTGGGAAAGATGCCACAGGCAGGCTTTCTATTGATTATCTTGCTCTTGCCGGGGCATTAGAAAATTACCAACCAACGCCGCCTCAAGGAAGAACCTTTGAAGCACGGGACCGTCGCATGCTTCGCGTTCTAGGTGCTTTTTTTTAACAACTCCATGCTCACGACTGCTTTCAAGAGAAGAGTGCTGGAGACGATAGACGAAGAGGAGTAGAGAGAGTTGCGTGTAGCCGCCCGCCTGGGTGCAAGATAGTGTAGCTTTCAGGCGAAGACCATGTTATATTGTAGAAAGCGCCGAACCGACGGGGAACAAAAGTGGGCGTTGAGGGACTTCTAGGCTCAGCGAAGCCCAGCGGTGATAGGGCGCGCAGAGCAACGGGTTCGAGGTACAAGGTGGCATACGTCTTGGAAGCCCCAACCAGACATATCCACGTATCCCAAAACAAGGGATGCGCGGAGTAAGTAGGAGTAGGGGGTGATGTACTGAAGGAGCAGTGGAAGCGTAGACAGGACTGCAGGTTACTCATGATCGTCATGATATGCTTGCACGCATGCAGCCGGCTCGATGCATGCCAAGGCGCACGTCCAAACAAATTTTGGCTCAAGCCGCTTTGGCTCTATGGCGTCCGCGGCTGCGAACCAATGGCGTGCTGGGAGGTTACTGGCGGCGTGGACAGAGGTGGAATCATCGTGCGAGAGGGCCAGGCGTTCGGCTCCCAGAAGGCGCCAGAGCGACTGCGCACAGGCGCCGTCGTGAGGGAGCTGGCCGTGGAAGACGGGCGGCTGCAGTACGAGCTGGTGCAGGGCAGCGGACCTGCGACGGGCTGGGTGAGCGTGGCGCTCGGCGGCAGGCAGCTGCTGCAGCCCGTCCTGGACGAGCTCCCATCGCCCGTAGAGGTCCCATGGGCTGCCGACGGGGGGCCATCGACTCAGGGTGACAAGCGTCAACCGAGGGTAATCTTACGCATTGCTCATTTCTAATTCTTAGAAAGGTCTTTGATTCTCTGGGGGGCCAAGATCCTCTCATTTCTAATTCTTCTATCCTGGGCCTCTTCCTGGCCACTAGGGGGCCAGGAACAATTGGAAACGAGCAGAATTAGGAATGACCACGACTAGAAATGGACGACGTGCACCAGCGAGTAGAGCACACTCGCTTACGTTGTCCTTCACGGAGCTTGGACCCAAGTGAGGCGCTCCCAAAAAAACAGGGCTTTGCCCTCGAGGGTCGAAGGAGTTGTCACCTCTTCCTCGGCCGGAGGCAGCCGAAGGGCGGCGGAGGGTAAAGGGAGGCCTCCTCCTCTGGCGGAAGCCTGCAGAAGGCCGGCGGAGGGCGGCGGAAGCAAAAAGTTCCCTCCAAGAGATGCGGACATGTTTGGGTTCAGGATTTCCGGAATCCGCCAAGCGTAGAAATCACAATTCTTGACGCTTCGCGTATCCCCACCAGTCACATTCTTCCCGGCGGCCCGTTCGCTTCGGTTCGCGCTGCTGCGCCTATGTGCGTTTGCTTGTGAAGTTAGTTCATTTTGTTCTGTGCGTGTGCAACTGCGAGTTTGTCTTGCGGGTGCGAGCTTTGTCCGCCGACGCCGGCGGCTTTGTGCGCAAATTCGCCCCGTACCGTGGCCCGGACGCCGCACGCCGCTTTTGCTCCGTGACCGTTGCCTCGGAGCCGCCGACCAAAAAAGTATCCCCACCAGCCCATCCATAATCGATTGCCAGTTTCCTTGAGGCCTCTTGGAGGCTATCTTGAGCCATGCTCGGCTAGAGGCTGTCGGAGGCTATCTTGAGCCATGCTTGGCTATCTTGGGCCATCTTGAGGCTGCCTTGAGGCCTCTTGGAGGGCTGTCGGAGGCTATCTTGAGCCATGCTTGGTTATCTTAGGCCATTTTGAAGGCCATCTTTGGCTATCTGGGGCTCTCTTGGAGCCATCTTGGGCCAAAAAGGGCGGGGTGGAGGGTCTTTGGGAGAGGCTGGGAGGCCTCTTGGGGCCACCTTGGTCCCCATGGCTTAAAAAGAGGAGGTCCCTCAATTAGGACCCCCCCCTCGGAGGCTCGAAAATGGCGTCTTGGGGCTTTCTTGGGCCGCTCTTGGGCGCCTCTTGGGCGATCTTGGGGCCGTCTTGGGCCTTCTTGGGCCCCTCTTGGGGCTCTCTTGGACCATCTTGGGGCCATCTTGAGGTCCCAGAGGCCCATCGGAAGCGAAAAGGCGAGAATGCCAAAAACAGAGATTTCCCCTAGGCTTTGAAGGGTTTTGGCATGTTGGAGGGCGCCGTGGAGGGCTCGAATGGCACTTGGATCCGTCTTGGGGCTGTCTTGGGGCCTCTTGGAGGTATGTCGGAGGCTATCTTGACCCATCTTGGAGTACCTTGGGCCATCGTGGAGGCCATCTTGCGACTTGGAGCGCCTCTTGGAGCCATCCTGGGCCATCTTGGACGCTGCGGCGCCTCCGTCCCCCCCCCCTCCAGGTCCAGGGGAGGGGGTAGGGGGAGGGGTAAACCCCTCCCCCGAGCAGGGGAAGGAGGGGGAAGAGAGAAAAGCAAACTCGTTATACCACCGTAGCCCTAAAGGGCTGGTGGGATTCCGCCAGTCTCCTGCTGGGGCGCGCGACGGCTCGCATAGCAGGTTGGCCTGAGCGCTGTTCCAGGCGTTTGGGATTGCTCCTCCGCCGCCCCCCGCCACTTGGCCTCTCTTCTTCTGAACGTATGACTGCGAGCAGCTTTACACTACCAGCGCATCGCCAACGCTTTGGAATAACAAGTGTGCATAGGTTTCGTTGCGCTGCTGGAGTAAAGTTCTTGTGGCGAAGGGCCCAACCATATGCAATTGTGAATATCGCTGTTGTGGGTAGCGCCTTCGGTGGATCTCCTTATAGGGCCAGGAAGCGTGCAAAGGGCGTGCCGAAATGGGGCGGGGCCACCATGCGGGCGCTGCTACTGGGGCCTTCGGTATACCACCCCATCTGGGGCCACGACACGTGCGAGGGGTGTGCCGAAATGGGGCGGAGCCTTCGGTGGAGCTCCCATATGCGGCCACCAAGCGTGTGAGGGGTGTGTCGAAATCGGCGGGGGGGACGCATGCGAACGTCGCCAGTGCGGCCTTCGGTGGAGCTCCGAATGGGGTCACGAAGCGCGTGAGGGGTGTGTGCCGACATGGGCGGGGTGGGCGCATGCGAACGTCGCCACTGCGGCCTTCGGTGGAGCTCCCTATGGGGCCACGAAACGTGTGAGTGGTGTGCCAACATAGGCGGGGCGGACGCATGCGAACGTCGCAAGTTGGGCCTTCGGTGGAGCTCCTTCTGTGGCCGCGAAGCGCTGCACTGGGTGGGGCGGACGCATGCGAACGTCGCCAGTGGGGCCTTCGGTGGAGCTTCCCATGGGACCACGAAGAGCTGTACTGGGTGGGGCGGACACGTGCGAACGTTGCCACTGTGGCCTTCGGTGGAGCTCCCCATGGGGCCACGAAGCGCTGTACTGGGCGGGGCCTTCGGTGGAGCTCCGAATCCCAATACCTGGCGGGTGTGCAATGCCACGGGAATCCCATAAGCAGCAGCAGCAGCAGCAGCAGCAAAAGCAGCAGCAGCAGCAGCAGCAACAACATCAGCAGTACAAGGCAAAAAGCGCACAAGAGCCACAAGCGGCTCAGGCGTCTCGGTGCACTAGGCACCGAAAATGAGGGCGGCACCGCTTCACGATGTGCCGTTCACGGATCCTGCAGGGTGGGCCCTTCCTCATTTTCGGTGCCTCGTGCACCGAGACGCTTGAGTCGCTGGTGGCTCTTGTGCGATTCCTGCCTTGCCTTGGAGCTCCTCATGGTGCCACGAAGCGGCGTACTGGTTGGGGCGGACGCATGTGAACGTCGCCAGTGGGGCCTCCGGTGGAGCTCATGGGAGCACGGAGCGCTGTATTGGGCGGGGGGGCGCATGCGACCGTCGCAAGTGTGGCCTGCGAGTGTCGTCACTGTGGCCTTCTATGGCGCGAGGCATGCGATTGTCGCCACTGGGGCCTTCGGTGGAGCCCCTTACGGAGCCACGAAGCGTTGTACTGGGCGGGGCGGACGCATGCGAGCGTCGCCACTGGGGCCTTCGGTGGAGCTCCTTCTGTGGCCACGGAGCGCTGTACTGGGTGGGGCGGACGTATGTGGACGTCGAAAGTGGGGCCCTCGGTGGAGCTCCCCATGGGCATGGGGCCACGAAGCGCCTGGGTGGGGTGGACGCATGCAAATGTCGCCCTCGTTGCCTTCGGTGGAGCTCCCCATGGGGCCACGAAGAAGAGCTGTACTGGGCGGGGGCGGGCGCATGCGAACATCGTTTTTGGGCCTTCGGTGGAGCTCCCTGTGGGGCCACGAAACGTTATGTCGAATGGGGCGGACTAAAACGCACGTCCCCAGTGCGGCCTTCGGTGGAGCTCCGAATGGGGTCACGAAGCGCCGTACTGGGCGGGGTGGACGCATTCGAGCGTCGCCACTAGGGCCTTCGGTGGAGCTGCGTCGTGATTTGGGCCTTCGGTGGAGCCCCCCACGGGGCCACGGAGCGCTGTAATCGGTAGGGGGGACGCATGCGAACGTCGCCATTGTGGCCTTCGGTGGAGCTCCCAATGGGGCCACGAAGCGCTGTACTGGGTGGGGCGGGCGCGTGCGAACGTCGCCGCTGGGGCCTTCGGTGGAGCTCCCTACGGGGCCGCGAAGCGCTGTACTGGGTGGCCGGCGCATGCGAACGTCGCCAGTGTGGCCTTCGGTGGAGCTCCATATGAGGCCAGGAAGCGCCATGCTGGGTGTGGTGGAGGCATGCGAACTTCGCGTTTGTGGCCTTCGGTGGAGCTCCTGATGGGGCCACGGAGCGCTGTAATCGGTGGGGCGGACGCATGCGAATATCGCCACTGTGGCCTTCGGTGGAGCTCCGAATGGCGTCACGAAGCGCTGTACTGGGCGGGGTGGACGCATGCGAACGTCGCGTTTGGGGCCTCTGTTGGAGCTCCTTATGGGGCCACGAAGCGTGTCAGGGGGGGCGGCGAAGTGGTTGACATGCGGAGAGCAGGCACGCAATGGGTGGGGGACGAGGTGGAGGACGAAGAGGGGTGACGCAGGGCGCTGTCTCTGCAAAGCGAGGATCCAACACCACAGGATGGTTAGGAACAAGTGTTCTTACATATCAAAGGTGAGACGGTATATCGTACGCAGCGTTGTATAGAAATCGTTACGTAAAAAGCAATGCGCCGTCGATGCTGCGCTGTTGACACTGCGCTGTTGACATAGCGCTACTGACACAACGCTGTTAACACTGCGCTGTTGGAGGAGGAAGAGGACAACGCAGGGAACAGGGAAGAGGATGAACGGGCTGAAGGCAGGGAGGAGAAGGAGGATCAGTCTGAGGAAAATGCGGAGGACAAAGAGGAGAAGAAAAGGCAGAGGAATAGGGGGGATACTAACCTAGTGAAAGGAGGGAGAAGGGAACACTGGCTCAAGAAAGCGCTGAGGAAAGGGTTAACCCTGAGCTGGAATGTCAACGAGACAGTGTTTCGACACTGCGTAACAAACACATTTGAACTCACCAATGCCCTGTGTACAATAATATGTGCAGGAGGATCGGAAAGAAACCAAAGCTCCGCCCAAAGCGAAGTGTCAAAAACGCAGTGTTTCGACAAACCACAGCGTCAACAAACAAATCTGCGTTGTCGACGCTGCGCTGAATAGAAGGAGAAGACAGGGCATCACAAAAAGTCGGTTTAACACTGGAGTGGGTCCATAGCGCAGTGTCACCAGCGCAGAGCTCCGAAAGCGTGAAACGGCACTGCATCATAATACCCATGTAAAGCATATCGCGTTCGTGACTTTAGGCAGGCTGGCTGGAGGAGAGGAAAAGGAGGAGGAGAAGACGGCTACTCCTTTGCTCTGTTCACAACGCAG